ATTGTTGGCATTCGCATTCGGGTTATTTCCGTTTTGCTTGTTCGGATTGTTCTGGTTGTTCTGTCGGTTCGGGTTATTATTGTTAGCCGGACGATTACTGTTGTTGGCCGGTTTAAGGTCGCGGTGAGTAATGTTATTCGCATGGAGATACGCCAAGCCATCAATTATTCCTTCCGCTAATTCTTCTGCTTCGGTATTGGTGATTGGCTTGTTTTTGAGCAAGTCGCCAAGCGTTCCACCCTCGGTATATTCCATTACGGCTACTTGGTAGTTGAGGTCGTGGCCGTGTATGTCTTTTGTTCCTGTGCTTACTTCATAGAGGTCGTAATATTCAATGAGGTTAGGGTGCTTGAGTTTTTTAATCTTCTTTACTTCATTCGTCAGGTCATATTTCTCACCGGCACTAGCAGTGGCTATTTTGAGGGCTACAAATTGTTCATCTTGTGTATCCCAAGCTTTGTACACATCACTAAACCCTCCTTTGCCTATTAGGTCAGCAGGGGCTTTATATTGGTAGCGTTTCTGAAATGCGGCAAGGGTTACTTCCATAGGTTTTAGCTGATTTGTATTATTTCAAAGGTATAATTGTCTTTGGTTTTCCCTTCACATTCCTGTAAAATAAGCGCTTTGATTTTTTCTAAAGCATACCCATTTTGAAAGTGTGATTTTATGAATTCATCTGTTACGTTTTCTAGCACTCCATCGGTACACAGAAAAAAGAAATCTCCTTCTTTTATATCCTCTCTAGGAATCGTATGTAGCGAACATTCTGTGGCATGGTTTGAACTCAAGGATTTTGTAATAATGTTTCCTTTAATGTGAGAAACATCTTCCCCTTTCTTTGCCAATTCATTTTTCAGGGAATGGTCTTCGGTCACAAAAAGAATTTCACCATTACGAATGTGATACAATCTACTATCGCCCATCCAACCAATGATAGCTTTTTCATTATCCAAAGCAAGCATTACTGCAGTGGTGGACATGCTTTTCATTTCGGGGTATTTGCCTACCATTTCCCGAAATTGGAATTGTGTGGATTTAAATGCGTTAGCTATATCTTCATTGCTTAAAGAGGTGTTTTTGAAATAATCAGAAAGGGAAGTGCAGGCCAATTTAGAAGCTATATCGCCATAGGCATTTCCGCCTACCCCATCGCAAACAATAAACAAATTACCATTGGCATAAAAAGCATCTTGGTTAGTGGGGCGTAAACCGCTATGGGTGTGGGTGATTATTTTCATTGGGTGAATATATCGAACTAGGACTTAGAAGTGAAACTTGTTAATATGGCAGGGGATTATTTTGAGTGGGTGAAGAGGTGGTAAAGAAGCTAATTGGAGTGTTTCGAGGTGACTCGAACCACGGGAGAAAAGGATTTCCACTTCCATCCGCCCGCGGCATTTGAGGTACATTCTAGAGTTTTTTTTATAAACGTCATTCCCGCACAGGCGGGAATCTCATCAATGGAGATAAGTGCAAACACAGATTCCCGCCTGCGCGGGAATGACGGCAATATGATGTTTGTTTGCTAAAATAATGTTTGAACTAGAATGCCCGTGAAGGATGCAGCGGAAAGCCCGCAGTGCCGCTGGAAGCGGCACGAGGACTTGCAGCGAAAAGCCTGACCGCAGTGCAACGGAGGGCACGCCCAAAACAAAAATACGTCACACATTTGTTGATGACCACCTCCTTGCCGACCATTTCGGAAGCAGGGAGGAAGCCTATTGGTAAGACGATCACAGGAGTTCGGAAAAAATATTTTCCGGCTTTTCGAACGAGCCTTCGAGGAGAAATCTCCTCTGATATTAAGGTGACGGTTACAATAATTTGAGGTATACGTAAATTCGCATCTTCCGAACACTTGGGGTTAGGCGACCAACAAAAACATAATACGTGTAAAACATATTCAGAACAACCTGTAAGACCTAGGCAGTGTGGACTCCAATGTAAAAAAGCGGACAACATATTTGATGTTGATTTGCTGAAAAATGTATTTACTGTATCACTCGCTCATTCATAAATACATACAACTTCTCTACCAAGAAGGTAAAGAACATCCATGCCGGAAAGTAATCTAAGCGTACTAATCCCAAAATGTGAAAGCCTGTGGTGTATTCCCAAGGGCAGCTTCCAGTGAGTGTTCGCAATAATAAACCGGAAAAAAATTCAATTACATATACAAATACGGTATAGATTAAAAGCCGAACAAAAAGCGGACGGTGTTTTATTTTATCAAAAAAGAAATAACCCAGCAGCGGAATGGATGCATAAATGAAAACCATCCAAACGTAGGTATATCCGGCCAATGCAATTAATGGTTTGCCACAATGAGGTTCTTGGTTGATTACACTCATGAGTGCCGTAAATACTACTTCCGTAGATAAGCCCATACAAGCAAATACATTCATCATGAAAAAGGTATGTAATCTGCGGTGTTGTGCAAATGGCATGGCAAAAAATTATGTGTGAAGCACTAATTGGCCTCACAATATACGGAAATTCTAAACGCTATTCTTCGCCAAATCCTTCTAAACCTCTACGGTCTTTTTTGGTGGGTCGGCCTTGTTTGCTCAATCGTTTGCCGGTATGATACACAAAGGCAGAGCGTTGCAGGCGTTTGTTTTTTTCTTCGTCAGACGTTAGATCAACATAGCATTTGATTGCTTCTTCGAATTGAACACGTGTATGGATAAGGCTCACCACCTGAATCAATTGCTTTGAACCGGCTTCGCGTTTAATTTCGTATTGATCGCCCACTTGCACTTGTCGCGATGCTTTTACATCTACTCCGTTCCATTTCACTTTCCCGTTGGCAATCGCATCGGAGGCCTGTGTGCGTGTTTTAAACAGACGAATCGCCCACAAGTATTTATCTAATCGTAATTTTTCGTTCGTTTCCATAGCTTATGAAATCAATACAAATAATCCGCCTACAATCATTGAAGCGCCTACAATTACTTTCCAAGTTAGCACTTCATGCAAAAAGATAGCCGATAAAATAATGGTTACCACAATACTTCCTTTATCAATAGCGGCAATGGACGATACGTTGCCAATTTTTATAGCGCGATAATAAAACAACCACGAGAGTGATGTTGTAATACCTGAAAGGATTAAGAACAGGGCATCGCGCGAGGTGAGCGAACTCATTTGTCCGTATTGCTTGAGTACAAACGAATTGATAATCACAAAAACAAATACCACGGCTGTTCGCACCACAAGGGCAATATCTCCACTCACATTTTTCAAACCGAATTTAGCTAACACTGATGTGAGTCCTGCGAAGAACATCGAAAGCAGCGCTAATACAACCCAGTTTTCCATTGTTGTTGTTTTGTATTTATCCCAAGAACGGATAGCGATAATCCACTGGAGAAACAAAGGTTTCTTTAATGGTTTGTGGTTGCACCCAACGCAACAAGTTAATCATAGAACCCGCTTTATCGTTGGTTCCTGAACCTCTTGCTCCGCCAAAAGGTTGTTGGCCTACCACAGCACCTGTTGGTTTATCGTTGATGTAGAAGTTACCCGCAGCATTTTGTAATTTCTTTGTGGCTAATTCAATCGCATAGCGATCGTTAGAAAGTATTGCTCCTGTTAACGCGTAAATCGAAGTGGAATCAACCAATTCCAATGTTTCTTCAAATTGGTTTTCATCGTACACATAAATAGTTAGCACCGGCCCGAATAGCTCTTCACACATGGTTACATATTTCGGATCTTTGGCAAGGATTACCGTTGGTTCAATAAAGTAGCCTTTTGATTTATCGTAATGACCTCCCATAATTACTTCTGCATTGCTGTCGGCTTTAGCATTATCAATGTATTTCGCCAATTTGTCGAACGATTTTTCGTCAATCACGGCATTGATGAAATTGCTGAAGTCCTCTGTAGGTCCCATTTTCATGGTTTTCAAGTCAGCCATCATCGATGTTTTTACCGTTTCCCAAATGTTCGATGGAACGTATGCACGCGATGCTGCAGAACATTTTTGTCCTTGGTATTCAAAAGCGCCACGCGATAGTGCAACAGACACTGCTTGCGGATCTGCTGAACGATGCGCAAGCACAAAATCTTTACCGCCTGTTTCGCCCACAATGCGCGGATACGACTTGTATAAATGGATATTGTTGCCAATGGTTTGCCATATATTTTGGAATACTTCGGTTGAACCCGTAAAGTGGATTCCGGCAAAATCGCGGTGACTGAAAATAACGTCAGCTGCATCCGGACCACTTGGGTAAATTAAATTGATAACGCCATCCGGTACGCCAGCTAAACGGAAAATTTTCATTAATACATGAGCAGAATAAACTTGAGTGTTCGATGGTTTCCAAACTACTACGTTGCCCATTAATGCACAGCTTGTAGGTAAATTACCTGCAATGGCGGTGAAGTTAAACGGAGTAAGTGCATACACAAAACCCTCTAATGGTCGCCATTCTGTGCGATTCCACATGCCTGCAGATGATTCGGGTTGCATGGCATAAATTTGTGTCATGAACTGCACATTGTAACGCAAGAAGTCGATGATTTCGCAAGCTGAATCTATCTCTGCTTGAAACGCATTTTTCGATTGGCCCAACATTGTCGCGGCATTCAATTCCGCACGATACGGACCGGCAATTAAATCTGCAGCTTTAAGAAATATGGAAGCACGTTGTTCCCAACTTAAATTCGCCCATGCTGATTTTGCTGCTAATGCTGCATCAATCGCTTGCGAAACATGTTGCTTTTCGCTTTTATAGTAATAGCCTAAAAGGTGTTGGTGATCGTGTGGCGGATGCAACGATTTTTTTTCTCCGTCACGCACTTCTTTCCCTCCAATATACATTGGAATATCGCGCACTTCGGCACGCATTGTTTTTAATTTCTCTTGTAGTTCAGCACGTTCAGGGCTTCCCGGTGCATATTGTTTTACCGGTTCGTTTTTGGCTACCGGTACATGATAAAATCCTTTCATAAAAATTGGTTTTGATTAGAAAGTAATAGTTGTGTTATTTCGGGAAAATCCATTTTACCAAATCGTTTCCGTTGGCATAAATCATTAATCCAAAAAGGAGTACCATGCCTACCATTTGGGCATACTCCAAAAATTTATCACTTGGTTTTCGGCCCGTAACCATTTCCACTACTGTGAAAAGCGCATGACCTCCATCTAATGCAGGAATTGGCAATAAATTCATAAAGGCCAATAAAATCGAAATAAAGGCTGTACTGTTCCAGAAAGCTAACCAGTTCCATGTATCAGGGTACAATTTCGAAATAGCTGCAAAGCCACCCAATTGTTTGTACCCTTTTAATTCAGGCGAGAAAATAATGCGGAATTGTTTCACATAATCTCTTAGAATATGCCATGAATGCCTAACTCCGGCCGGAAAGCAAGTCAGTAAATTGTATTCTTTCTTTTCTATTTTGAAGTAAGTAGTTATATCTTTTGCCGATACTTTCAATAAGCCATCATCGCCAATTTTTACTTTGCTAGCAATAGTATCGGTATTATTTCTCAACAATAGAATATCGATTTCTTTGTTTTTGTTGTGTTGCAAGATATTACCCATCTCGGCAAAGTATTGAATAGGTAGTCCCGCTAAGCCAATTACTTTGTCGCCTTTCTGCGCAATTTTCTGTAATGGAGACTCAGGTAAAATAGAATCTAAATCGCTTGGAAAAGCCAATTTCACGAAAGAAGTTTTGCCTTCGCCATTGATTATGGCCTTATACACCGACTCCGGAATATTGATGTCCATAGTTTTGCCTTCACGTTCGATGTGTAACACTTTGGCGTTATCTAACAACAAATCTTTCACCACCGGAATGGTAGCGTCTTCGAATTTTTTATTGTCGTAGCCTAAGAATTTATCGCCTGTTTTTAAACCAATGCTTTGTGCCAACGAATCGCAGACGAAGCCGTATTGTGCATTTTTCATTGGAATAGATTCTTCTCCGGTTTTCCATAAAATCATGGCGTAAATAAAGAAGGCCAAAAGGACGTTCACGATAATACCTCCCAACATAATAATCAAACGTTGGTAAGCAGGTTTCGAACGGAATTCATCAGGTTTTGGCGGTAATTTCATGGCTTCTTCGTCCATGCTTTCGTCAATCATTCCGGCAATTTTCACGTAGCCCCCAAATGGAAACCAACCTAAACCGTATTCTGTTTCACCAATTTGTTTTTTGTAAAGCGGGAAATTGAGTACACCTGGAAAAGGGAAAAGGAAATCGAAAAACAGGTAGAATTTTTCTACACGTGTTTTGAACCAACGGGCAGCAATAAAATGACCTAATTCGTGTAATGTAATTAGTATAGAGAGGCCAAGGAAAAGATAAAGTATTCGAATCATGATTTGTTTTTTAATGGATGCCTTTTTCGGAATGGTCCTAAGGTCTTTGACGTCTTATGTTATTTTAGTGAGCGAAAGTAAAAAGTTTAAGCAATAACGAACGGAATTAGCCCTTGGGCAATTTTGCGATCGTTGGCCAAACGGGGTACTTTATTTTGCCCGCCTAGCTTTCCCTCGCTTTTCATATATGCGGCAAAGGCGCTTTTTTGCAATTTTTGGATTTTCAAGCGGTCCAAAATGTTGCCTTCCCGTAAGTCGAAATAGTAACTATTTTTCGTTTGTAAGTGTTTGTCCACTTTTTCTGCGAAAGCTTCCAAATCCATTGGCTCTTGATCGAATTCCACAAACCATTCGTGGAACGACTTGCCTTGTTCCGGACTTACATTCGGTGCCACAGTGAATTCCATAATCGATATGGCTTCTTCTTCAGCTGCTTTCAGAATGGCATATTCCACCTCTTCGCCAATCACATGTTCGCCAAAAGCGGAAATAAAGTGTTTGGTTCTGCCCGTAACCACAATGCGGAAAGGTTCCAGCGAAACAAATTTCACCGTATCGCCAATATTATAGCCCCACAAACCCGCATTGGTATTGAGGATAATGGCATAGTTTACATTCAATTCTACCTGAGCCAAGTAAATACGCTCCGGATTTTCGTTGAAAATTTCATCAGCTTTCACAAATTCATAGAAAATACCGCCATTCACATTCAGCAACAACCCTTTTTCTTTTTGCGAATCCTGGAATGCAATAAATCCCTCGGAAGCCGGATAGGTTTCAATGGAATCCACTTTTCCGCCAATGAGCGATTCAATCTTGGCGCGATAAGGTTCATAATTCACGCCACCAAAGGCGAACACAGAGAAATTCGGGAAGATTTCACGAATCGTTTGCTTTCCCGATTTCGCAATCAATTTTTCAAAATACATCACTACCCAAGGCGGAATACCGCTAATGAGCGACATGTTCTCATTCACCGTTTCTTCTACAATGGCATCCACTTTTGTTTCCCAATCTTCGATGCAATTTGTTGCATAAGATGGTTTGCGATTCGCATTCAAATAAGCCGGCACATGGTGATACACAATGCCCGATAGTCGTCCGGATGGAATCGCACCATGTTGATCCAACTCTGGTGAACCTTGCAAGAAAATCATTTTATAGTCGAAGAAATCAGCTTTGCCGGTTTCATGCGTGTAGGCTAAAAGTGCATTTCGTGCTGCACGAATTTGTTCCGCAATCGATTCATCGGTAAGTGGAATATATTTTGTGCCGGAGGTTGTGCCGCTCGATTTACAAAAATAAGTAGGTTGCCCAGGCCATAACACATCGTGTTCACCGGCTGTAATACGTTCTATATAGTCTTTCAAGCCTTCGTAATCTCGGATAGGGACTTGCTTTTTAAAATCTTCGTAAGTGTTGATCGATAAGAACTGGTGCTTTTTGCCGAAGGCCGTTCGTGCTCCTTTTTTAATCAATTGCCGAAGCAACTGTTGTTGCACATAAACGCCTTCTGTTTGCTCCTTATAAATCGAAGGCACAATTACAGCTGCGGCCATTTTTGCCAGAAAAGATTTTAATCCCATAAACGCAAAGATAGGTTTCTGATTTAAAGCTAAAATTCTGAAGATAGAATGCCGTTATTTTTAGGATTAATAATGTATTTTGGAAAAACTAAAAAAAGATCATGAATGCTGCATTACTCTTCAAAACGGCCAATGCCTTTGTCATTCCGGGGTGGCTGTTGTTATTGCTCGTGCCGAATTGGAAGTACACGCTACCGCTGATTCGCTATGGAATGGTGTTAGTGATGGCGACATTTTATGCGTATTTGATATTGAGTTCCATTTCGGGCTTTAATGGTGAGAGTTTCAGTACGTTAGAAAATGTGAAGCATTTGTTTCAAAATGATGATGCTGTTTTGGCGGGGTGGATTCATTACTTAGCCTTCGATTTGTTGATAGGAACACATATTGTTGAGCAAGCAAAATTGTATCAAGTGCCGCGTTGGTTATATGTGTTTGCTTTGCCGCTCACCTTTATGTTTGGACCGATGGGATATTTATTATTCGTGGTAATGAAATCGGTTAAAGGATTAACTGCCCAAAACCAGAACCAATGATGCAGTATGTTGCTTTGATTACAGGATGGGCTTTCTTTTACGCCATGCATAGTGTTTTAGCGTTAGATAGCATGAAAGCATTCGTAAAAAATTTATTCCAATCGTATTTTCCATATTATAGAATAGGCTATAATGTGTTTAGTGTATTGTTATTTGTAGTATTGGTGTATTATCAGTTTTCGCTATCCCAAGAAATACTTATTGCAAAAAGTATTGTGCTTGAAATAGCTGGTGCTATTGTGTTTCTGTTAGGTGTTATTGTTTTGAATGTCGCATTTTCATCGTTTAATAAGCGCGAGTTTATGGGCTTGGAACAGTTAGATGAAATTAAACAGCCAACAGTTATAGCTGAAAAGAAACTAGTGAAAACAGGTTTGTACGGCTACGTTCGACATCCTTTATATTTTGGTGTAATACTTATGTTGTTAGGCGCAGTTTTATTTTTACCGAATCTACCAATGTTATTATTTGTAGCTGTTTCCTTGGTGTATTTGCCGATAGGGGTAACACTTGAGGAACGAAAATTAGTAGCTGAGTTTGGAGCGCAGTATCAAACCTATCAGCGGGAAGTGAAAATGTTGTTTCCGTATGTGTTTTAATTTGAGACAATGCAAATGTTTAAAATCGTTATACTATTTTTTGTGGTTTATATGTTGCCACAAGCTATTGGTCGATATTTGGCTAACAAATACCAACAACCTAGCATAAGAAGAGTTGTGTTTGTCGTTCATGTATTATTGTATTTTATAGTGGTTTATCTGTCTTTTCTTTCAACGAAAGTCAGTATGGATGCTTCTGCTAAAACGCGTTGCGGTAATTGGATGCTAGTTTATTTTGGAGCAGTTGTAATTAGTGTTTCTATTCCATTAACCTATGTGCTACTTCCATTGTTTAAGAAGTTTCGGTAACTACATTCCTATTGCTAATTTGAAATGCTTTAGTTTTAATAATGACACGAAAAGAGTTTAATCGGTTTTTACTATTACTTGGGGGAGGTTCAATCGTATCCCCAACATTAAAAGCGTTTCCTATAAATACATTTGTTTCACAACGGCCTCCTTTAGCCCAACGGAAATTCAAAAGCGAATCGGTGGAGAAACTAATAACCGAAATCAAATCTAATTGCAAAGACGAGGAGTTAGGATGGTTGATCGAAAATTGTTTCCCAAATACATTGGATACCACTGTGTTTTTTGAGATGAAAGATGGCTTGCCCGATACTTATGTGATTACCGGGGATATCGATGCTATGTGGCTTCGCGACTCCTCCGCGCAAGTAAATCCATACTTGCCTTTGTGTGCTGAAGATAAGCCGCTATCGCTGATGATTGAAGGGTTAATTAGACGGCAAACGCAATGTGTTTTGCTCGATCCCTATGCCAATGCATTCTACAAAGACAGCAACCGAAAAAGTGGATGGCGAACCGACAAAACGGAGATGAAACCCGGTGTACACGAGCGCAAATGGGAGTTAGACTCGTTATGCTATTGCATTCGATTAGCCTATCAATATTGGAAGGTAACAGGGAATACCGCTATGTTTGATGCTACATGGGAAAGCGCCATGCGGTTGGCGGTGGATACCATGAAGGAACAACAACGCAAAACAAGTAAGGGCAATTATCATTTTCAACGTAAACATGTGCGCCATACCGATACACAAGCCGGTGGAGGCTATGGACATCCTTGGAAGCCAACTGGCATGATTTGTTCAGCGTTTAGAAACAGCGATGATGCCACGGAGTATTTGTTCAATATTCCCGAGAATTTATTTGTTGTTGCGGCACTTCGTCAATTGGCAGAATTGCTAACTGTACTGAAAAGTAGTACAGCATTGGCGAGTGAGTGTTTGAATTTAGCGAATGAAGTAGAGCAGGCAGTACAAGCACACGGCATTGTCAATCACGAAAAATTCGGGAGAATCTACGCCTACGAGTGTGATGGTTTAGGTCATTATGTTTTGATTGAAGATGCAGGTATTCCGGGTTTAGTAACCATCCCTTATTTGGGTTACGGTGAGGTAGTAGATGAGTTGTATCAACGCAGTCGGAAATTCGCTTTAAGCGATAGTAATCCATATTT